GAGTCTAGCTTGTCAATCAGATCATAGCCAATGAGGCCTCTGTGTGGGCATGGCCTTCTCCTGAGAATTCTGGGAAATCCGGTTCCTCCTTGGAGGCGGGAGATACTTCTCTCTCTCTGCTACTCCCTGGGAGACATTGCAGCTGACAAGACACATAGAACTACACTAGAGCCCTAAGTTGGAGAAGCCACATGGACCTTCCCTGATGCAACCAGACCTCTGAAGCCAGAGAAGCCAGGTAGAGACCCCTGCCAGTGCTGAGATGCTTACGATGCCACTGGATCAAAAGACTTTCTACCCATTGGCCTGTGATCATCCTGCATTGGGCATCATTGCATGTGTTTCGTGAGTCTGAAGAGGACTTTATTGATTGGTATCGGACATATGGGCTAGTATCAGGCTTGGACTGGACTAGGTTGGGATGCTTTCTCAATGTTCAATTCCTCTTGTAAATAAAACTCTTTCCTTTTGAATTTGTTCTCTGGTCACCCAGACTAACACCGTCACTGAGCCAATTTTGACTCATGGCCACCCCATGTGTGTCACAGGAGAACAGCTTCATAGGGTTTTCATGATTGTGCTCCTTATGGGAGCATTTCACTGGCTCTTTCTTCGGTGGAGCTGCTGGGTGAGTTTGAGTTGCCAGCTTTAAGGTAGGCAGTCATTTGCAAACTGCCAGGCTTCTCTGCCGTGTAAGGTACATGTTGCTGTTCGCTGATACTAACTTATAGTGACCCTGCGGAATAGAGTCCAACTGCTTCACAGGGTTCCCGATGCTGTAAATCTTCACAGAAACAGAGTGTCATCGTATTGTCCTTCAGTTCACAACCTGTGTTAGGCCGAGTTGACTAGAGAAACAAATTTAGTCATAACTCATGTATGTGTAAAAATGAGCTTTATATCAAGAAGTAATTATACATCAGTAAAACATCCCAGCCCAGCCCAACTTAAATCCGTAAGTCCGATAAGATCACAGGCCAGTGGGTGCAAAGTCCTATGGATACAATGGCGGTAGATGCATCTCCAGGGCTCTGGCAGGACCCGTGGTTCAAAGGATCAGGAAGGTGAAGGCAGAGAGAGTGGGGGGTGGGGTGGGGGTGGGGGTGATGAAGCTTCCCCAGGTCCTCCTTATGGGAATAATATGCCCACAAGGAGGCATCATCAGGCTGTGACCTGATTGACAGGTTGAATACCACCCATACACTTTTTAAATTTTTTTTCTAATCGTTTTATTAGGGGCTCATACAACTCTTATCACAATCCATACATACATCAATTGTGTAAAGCGCATTTGTACATTCATTGCCCTCATCATTCTCAA